TTAAAACCACCGAATGGTGCTTGATTGCAAATAACATCGTAGTCATTTACCCAGACTGAACCTGATTGTAGTCGTTGTGCAAATGACAAAGCACGTGTTACTAAACAGCGAGAAAGATATCATCGATAAAAATGTGTATTCATATCAATTACGATCTTTGGTAATCACGCCAGCACCTAATCCAAACGATGTATCATTTGCACGTGTGAGCACTTCATCGTAACTATCGAATTTCAAGATTGACATTACTGGACCAAAAATCTACAAAGGATACAGCAATCGAGATCTATTTATGGATCTAAGGAATATAGACTTCTTCGCGAGCAATTTGCATTTGATCTTCCACACCACTGAAAATCGTTGGTTGTATAAAGTAACCTTTATTACCAACGCGTGCCCCGCCGCATTCTAATTTAGCTCCATTCTTCTTTCCAGATTCGATGTAATCCAAAATCTTGTTGAATTGACTTTCATTGATCTTCACAAACATGACAAGAAAACGTCTTTGTCATAAGTGAAAAACAAGTCTTGTTACCTGTGGACCTTGCTTTGTATTGGAATCAAATGGATCGCCAGTTACGCGTTTTTTTGTTAGTGCCACACTTCGTGCAATAAACTCATCATAGATCTTCGCATGAACGAATGTACGTGTACCAGCTGTACAATTCTGTGCGGCATTATTGAAGATTGCTCGATGAGCGATGTTAACAGCAAAATCAACTATTTTTCATTTCAACAACATAGTACTTATATTCACGTTCGTTCTTTACTTACGATCGGCATCTTCACAGATGATTAATGGAGATTTACCACCTATATACGTATTTATAGGTTGAAAGCAAAGTCTTGTCAAGGTCGTTTGACTTACCAAGTTCAAGAGATACACGCTTGAGGTTTGATTGAGCTGCAGCAATTTGAATCTTTTTACCAATCTATTAATATCCATTCTTTTTTTTTCTCATTCCTAGTTATCTTCCAAGGAACTGACCTCGACTGATCCAGTGAATGCGATTTTATCAATGTGTTCATGAACAGCGATCGCGTTGCCGCACTCCGGTCCATCACCTGGTAAAATATTCACAACTCCCGGTGGAAATCCAGCCTAAATTCTCAATAAATAAATTCACTTGATGATATGAACAATCGACAACTACCTCTTTGATCAAAGCAGCACAATAGAGCGCAGTCAGCGGTGTTTGTTCGGCTGGTTTCAGAATAACCACATTACCTACAGGAGAGTAGCCAAACAACTTAATTAAACAAAAGCAAAGATTGTCTTTACACACCACATGCCAATGCAGGACCTAATTTCCAAGTCAACATCATAATCTAAACAGCTTGACATGTTTCAACAATATGAGAAAACAAAACAACTGACTGGATAATTCCTAGAAAATTTCACTTGTTATTTTATTCGGATATTACACAAGATAGTTACCATGGAATAATTTGTCCGCATATACCGACAGGTTCATGTCGTGTATAAACAAACGAGTCGTGACTAAACGGAATTGTTTCGCCTACTATTTTATCCACCCATCCAGCATCTATAGATCATTTCGATTAGAATTAGCTATCTTTTCAAGAAAACGTCGTACAGTAATCGATACAATCAGCTGAAACATTGATATCAGCGATGCTCTCTTCAACTGGTTTACCATTATTCAATGTTTCTAATTTCTAAAGAAAAGCAACACTGTTCTTTTTATGGTAAAACTCATCAAAATGGCACTCTTACGGATAAATAATCAATATCCCGTCGGAGAAAGGATGCGAATTGGCGCATCAAACTTCCACGTGCAGACGGTTCCAATTTACGCCACGGTGAATCGATCTCAAATGCTTTTCGAGCAGCTTCAACCGCTTTATCAACATCGACCTATCAACACATCCAATCTGCATCGATGAATCCACCGAACAATGAAACTGCAATCCTTACTCGATTGGCTTCTTCTACTTGACAAATCTCTTCACCTGTACTTGGATTAATCACGGAAAATGTTTTTCCACTTTCTGCTTTGTGCCATTCATTATTAATGAAAATTTTCGTATATTTGATTTCAATGTTTGATGGAGAGGAGCTATTTGTCGACGACATCATCGAACGTTATGATGTTGAATGTTATTACCAGGTGCGCCGAGAGATTCTTTTTCTTGACATTTTCGTTGCTATTTATTATATCTTCGTTTTTGTTTTCCTCCAGTGCAAAAACATCGAATACAGCTCGGGTATTCTATACAAATAATAAAGTTCGATCATGTAGAAAAAAAAACCCTTTCTAATCTAGTTCATTTCGAGGCATTTCTTACAGTTTGAATAAAGAAACAAGCGATTATGCTCTTTTATTCTACTAAAAACTAGTAATCGTGAAAGAAGAAAAAAAGCACTTAATTCGTGCTTATTGTTCACCAATAATATTTAGTACTTCATAACAAGCACCCATCGTATGATAATCGGTTTTTCCTGCTGGCGACTTCTCGTCAGAGTATTTTTCGTTTGTTGGTGTTAGAATTCTATACCAAGCACCATACTTATGATCAACAAAGTATTTCCAACTGTATTCCCAGATTTTATCATACCATTGCCAGTATTTATCATCTTTTAACTTATCGGCAAGTAGAGCAGCTGCAGCGAAACTTTCTGCTTGTACCCAGAAGTATTTATCAGCATCGTATAGATTGCCTTCGACATCGTAGCCGTATACTAAACCACCATTGACTTCATCCCAGCCGTATTTCATCGCACGATCGAACAATCGAGTCGCACGTTCGACATGCCAAGATTGAGGATCATGTCGATCAAGAATTATTAAGAGTTTCGCCCATTCCGCTTGATGACCAGTTTGAATACCCCATGGACGAAATATATTTGTTCGAACACCTTTGTTATACTCATAATTTGGACTCCAATCGAGGTTAAAATGTTCGAAGACTTGATAATGTAATTCTTTGGAACTAGCTGTTATACTTTCAGCTAAAGTTTTTGCTCGTTCCAGGTAGAACTTCTCGTTTGTTGCTTCATATGCAGCTAACATGGCTTCACAAGCATGCATATTATCATTCTGACCACGATAGTCTGCCAATTTCCAATCACCGGATGCTTCACTTCCATAGACACCGTGATCTTTCAACCAAAAATGTTCTTCCATCACATCGTACGTCTCGCGAATCCATTCTCGAGCTTCTTCAATACCAGCACGTAAGGCATATGCATAAGCTAAGATGACGAACGCTAGCCCATAGCAATGATTTGTATCATCACTAACTTTTCCATCGTAGATTACCCAAGCATAGCCACCAGTTTGAGGATTACGATGGAATTTACGAAGATAATTCACACCGTGCTGTGTACGTTCGAGGTAATCAGTTTTACGGAAGTGTATATAAGCCATAGCATAGTTATAAACGAAACGTGTCGAGGATACTAAATGACGAGTATGAGGATCGTAAACTGTGCCATCATCTTTATAGAATTGATAGAAACCACCTTTAGGATCAACGGATTGATCATAAAAATCTAATGTTCGTTGAACATGTGCTATTAAAAATGAACGATTTCGAAAATCCATGGCTTTCCTGTGCTTTCTAGAATGGAAAAGTAGCATTACTGCATTGTTCACTGTCAGCATGCAGGAAACACAAAAGGATCCTGATTTTTATTAAGTTTTATTGAATAGATTATGAATTCTTGGGCACCACACCTCTCCTAGCAATGTAGTATAACCTTCAAATAAAAAAACTAAAGAAACGCTTGCTTCGTCAACTCTACTTTCGCTGATATGCGATGTAGAAGCGCACATTCTGGTGATAAGACAAAAACGTGGAGCATTTTAATATTACAATCTTGTCCTATCTACGCACATGCGCATGTGCATACATTTGAAACAATTTGATTTGTTATCTGTGTAACAAAACATCTATTCATGTTGAATTCTTCTTTTATTTCGTGTTTCTGTGACTTAAAGTAGCTTCTCTATTTTGGAGGCAGAAAGAAAGAGAAGAAAATGTCGATACGTTGACGTTCTGTGCGCACAGAAGACAAAACAAACTTCATCACGTGTGCGGTACGTCGACGTCTCTCTCTCACTGAATAACCTCGATGGGAAATCTGTTTCGCAAACAAGGTGTACTCTACAAGACATTAACAGACGAACTTCTTGCTCATTGTCGAACAATCACAAATTTTACTGATCAAGACATTCACGATGAATACACGAAGTTTTTCTCCGTGACTGATGATGGCCGGTTGAAGAAATCGCAAATGGAAACCTTGTTGGGAGAATATCTACCCCCGACGAAGAAGAAACATTCGAAATATTTAACCGATTGCGTCTTCTCGGCGATCGATACGAACAATGATGGTTACATTGACTTCTTAGAATATTTAATGAGTATAAAATTTTTTCAATCCGAATCACCAATTGAAAAAGCGGATTTCGTCTTTCGTATTATCGATAAAAACGGTGATCGTCATGTGACGCAAAAGGAACTCGCACGAATATTAAAATGTCTGCAAGATTATCATCGGTCATTATCAAGTGTTTATGTACAGGACGTTCTGAACGAAGGTCCGAAACCAGCTGCTACTGCAATCGTGGAAAAATTAGATGAAGACAAATCCGGCGTTATAAATGTCTCGGAATTTGTCGATGCTTGGCTCAAAGATGAATCTATTCGAGCTTTATTCACATTCTAATCATGAATTTAAAGAACTCTCCATATTTTTTGTTGTTGTTTGGCTGACCAAAATAAAAATAGTTTGCAATTCTTTCTCATATACATCGACCGTACATGTACTATGACTAATGCCCTCTATCGGACATTTATGTTCTTTTCTCCTATACCAATCACAGTGAAACTCTATGACAGGTTGTTTTCCTATTAGACATTCCTTCTATCAGTCAAAAGAATTTGTTTATTTATTTGATTAAGTAATATGCAAAGTAAAGATTGTTATCAAATCTTGCATATTTTTTTTTGTAAACGCATTTGAGGACAGAATGCAGTCATTGCATTATAATAGTGGTTCGATTAAATTAACTCGTGAACGTGCGACGATGGTAGCTCGATGGGAACCGAATGAAGTAGCGCGATGGATTTCTGGTAAATATGCCATTGAGCAAAATGACGAACCCTTCGGTCTCTTTTAGGTCTAACAGGGATTCAACCGGAAATTAGTGAGATATTTCTTCGAGAGCGTATCAATGGTGCTTCACTAGGAACTCTTCTTCGTGACGATCTCATCCGAATGGGGATTACAAAACTCGATCAACAACTCATTCTTATGCAATCTATCGATCTTCTACTTACTCTTGTAAAATTTGATTGCAAGGGGAGATGTTTGCTGGATCGCTTTCTTTTTGTTTTAGGTTAATCGTCTACATAGCGAAACGCTGGCACTTTTGTTTATGCGAATACATTGTACGGCAACAACATGCTATAATCAATTGAAGAAACATGATGATACGTCGAATGATAATAGTAATGTGATCAATTCGCCACATTTTTACACATCTGTATGCAATCTATCAAATGCAATCGTGGAGACTTGTCACTGGCTGGGAAGGTGAAAATGGGATTTGAGGAGAAAAAGAAAGGTTTTGACTGCTATTTGGTTGATTTAGGTTACCGTTTATCGAGAATGCTGAATATATCGAATTAAGACGGAAAATTATCAAAGCACTTGTTCAAATACGTGTTTTAATACGTAATTTACGTTTGGTCGATCAAATCAATATGCCAAAATCAAAATTGATACTTGAGGTAATCGTCCGATTGGCATAAAATTGCAAAACCATTTGACATCTTATGTTTAGATAAGTGAATTACGAACAACTGCAATTTCATTAGTTCGTCAAAATAAAGATTCATTATTTTCATCGGATTGCTATTTAACACGAGTGAATTTACGACGTCCAATTAAAAATGATGTGGTACAATGAGAATTTCTACCTTCGATAAAAAAAACTTACTATTATTCTCTTTTCTATAGAATATCGAATATACGACGATGCCAGACTTTACACATGTGATATCGAGTATTGAGACAGAAGTAGGAAACGTTGAGATCAGAAATGAAATATAGATCGAATTTGATTTCAGGCAATGAGTTATATGGGCTCTGGGTTCCATGCAATTAACATCGGAGATGAAATTATAGAAATCAACAATCAAGTTGTGGTATGTGCTGTAGTTCTGAATCGTATTTCGAGCTCTTCTTCTCTTTTTTTTGTCAAGATCGGTTGGGACTCAGCGCATTTCAATGATCTACTTCGTTCATCATCACGTCCGAATGAGATATGTTTATTAGTGAAGAAAATGCCTCGCCATAATGATGATGAAATCTATACAAAACGTTTGGCTGATTTAACTCCAAATCCTCGGCGTACGCGCAATCGTGGTGTCTTAGAACGTATGAAGCAAACTGAAGATAATCGAACGAGATTATTAGAACAAGAAGGGTATGCCTTTCGTACAATTTCTTCCGCTTCTCTAACACTTCTATCACTAACACATAGAGTTCAAGAAGAAGATCAGGTAGATGAAGCCATAGATGTTGTTTCATTCATGTTGTCTAAGTTTTGTTTTGTTCGTTGATTTTCTTGAACAGGAACTTATTCGTTGATGTTCTTGTAGGGAGATTAATGTTGAAAGTGATGATGAAACTCTTTATCAAAGTAAACGTTCTTCCCAAATCAAACGCGATCAACATTCTTCGTTACCTGACCTCACCGAATCCATTGATGATAGTAATAATCCGAATGATATTAGTCAAATCTCTGATCATATTGAACCATCGTCGTCAACTTCATCCGTATCGACAACTGCAATGTTATCGCCGACATCTCCAATTAAAATCAATTCGAAACGAAAGAGTAGGAAGAGAAATTCACTCATTAAATAATACTATACCAGAAACCATCTCTCTTCTAGGTAATGATCGACCACCATCTGCTGGTGGAGTTTCTTCGTCGCCAAATGTAACACCTAAAAGTCCGAGAAAAATGGTTCGTTCAGATTTTGAAAAGATTCTCTCATGTCTCTGAATTGTTTTTAGGGTATTGAATCCTATTTTTCAACGTTATTCCGTCCCCGTCAAGATGCCAAGTCTGTCATTGCTGATCTTGATGAGCATGCAGCAAAAGATCAACCTCAATTAGTCACTGTGAAACGTATCAATTCTACCTACAAACAGAGTTCATCCAACAATTCCAACTCCTCACTACAAGACGATCAAATGATTGCGTCATCTTCGCCATCAGCATTGTCAACAAGTGTAGACAAACGTGACAGTCAAAGTAGCTTGCATACACCTTCCACCCTCTCACATATTTCCAATATTTTCAAAGTAAACTATTCTTATGGGTACATGACTATCGAATAGAATATTCATTCTTTTTTCAGTCAACGGAAAAACGAGCCAGCAGTGATAGTGGAAAGAATATAACGTATGTTTTATTGCTTTCTATGAGAACAAGGGCTTCAATTTGATGTTGACTTTTTTCAAGGTTTCGAAATGAATTAAAAATGGAAATTGGTTCGATCATTGGAAATAACAACAATACTAACGGTATCGTTGCCAATAAACCACCAGTTAACCATAGTGACAGTCGAAAGGTATTGTACATTCACTGACTGATGACTAAGAAGAACTAATTTCTTTTCTTTCAGAGTTCTATAACTACGGAGCGACGTCGTCCGAAACGAAAACGTAAGTAATCGAAATTTTCCGAGGATGTGATATGAGAAACATGTTTCTAGCCTTTATTGACTGGTAAATGAATACCAGAAGGTAATATGCATCTATCTATTGGGAACTCGATTATTATTTTTGCACTTAGACATGCTAAAGATAGACTGATTTAGCTGTTAACTAAAGTAGTACATCGTGATATTGGAAAAGCCAACATTGATGAAACTAGACCAGAATTTCATTACAATCTACTAAAAATAGAAGTGTTTAGGATAGATGTCCGACAATGGCTCATATTGATTCTTTTCTTTTGCTTCTATTCGGACTATCTCGAGTCTATGCACACATATTATATATTGGGTCTCGACATTAGCTATCTGATTTCGTTGAAATATATTTTTCTAACTCGTCTATTCTATAATTTAGCATCGTACAGAAAAGTCTCGTGCAAGGATTTGGGCAAAGGCGATTGTGAAGGTTTTCTACATCGATATTCACCGAAAGGAACGCTTTCACTGGTTACATGGCGTGTTTATTGGTGCGTTTTAAAAGGCGGCACTCTATATGTATTTAAATCAAAAGATGTAAGATGGACGCAACGGAAAAATATATTCTAAGACTTGTATTCTGTTTGCCTAGGATAAAAATCAAGAAATCGAAATAAAATTGGAAGGAAAAAACGTTTCGCCAGCACCAGAACGAAGAAAATAGTAAATGCATTACTTTCTTACAGCTAACAAATGTAATCTGTTGACATTTTAGTGCTTTTCGCATTGCGGACGAGAAAAGTAAATATCGTGAATACTTCTATTGTTCCACGCGCGATGAAATGGCCAAATGGATGAATAAAATGGGCTTGGCAGCGATTAACTTCAATATGGACGATTCAAAAATTGGTGGTTTTCACAAAGGCTTTGTAGATTCACGTGAAGGTTCACCAGCATCGACACCGATACTTGGCGCTTCGCCTCTATCAACTAGCAAACAGCAACGTGCAGGACATATCGGTTCGACTGGTGATAGTGAGAATGATTCTGACAAAGATTCCATTGCATCATGGCAAAAATCCACATCTCAACATAGCAGTGTTTCGGATACCGAATCATGCCGAGAAAAAGTAATGTTTATTGTGAATTTTTCAAAAAGAAACCAACGTTCGTTGTATAGAATGATAAACGAGCAGATTTATCATCGGCTGCGCGTCATGCCCGTTCGTCGTCATCGGCTTCAATTCTATCCGGCACGCATAGTAGTTCAATGAACTCACCATCAAATCGTTTCGTTGGGCAAATAAATACATCTTCGAATCGAAATCACTATCGTGCGAATAGTTCACCGAGAAATTTTCGTTCGTCATATGGAGATGATTTTGAAAATTCATATGTTTCTGCTGCACCAAGACTTTCCGATTCAGATTCGTCGACAGAACTTCCGTACCAGCGAATGTTTATCAATAGTCAAGTCATTAAGAATGATTCATCACAATCGGACGTGGTCAGTCATCGATGACTAATAAAAAGAATATTATTTTCTTTTTCTTTCATGTTGTTTAGCATCTGCGACCTTTAATCAATGATCAACCGAGAATATTGACTCCGTCTAGTGGTTTTACTACTCCCACGACGCCTCATTTATCCATTTCGAGTGATAAAACTCTCTCCCCATCTCAATCAACGTCGAACAGCCATCTATTTCTTCCTGGCAATGAAGAACAATTATCCCAATCATTCAATGATCCTAATACACCATCGAATCTGTCTACATCCCCTGTTGAAGAATACTCACCGGCAGTTGTTCGCATTGCTCCACTGTATATATCTGTTTACAGGTCTACTCCACCGATTCCTCTCGTTAAAGGCATAGTTGCTTCTTCAACACCTTCAAACAATAATGATCAATTATTCTTCGCTCGTCGTTCACCTTCTCCTCAATCTACTTCTATGTTAAGAAACTCTGAGCAGTCAAAACCAAGCAATATTTCAACAGATTATGAACATAACCAGCGTCATCATCATCATCACCACCAGCATTATCCATCCACATCAGAACAAAACTGACAGTCTTTCTTCCATCCTTTCTGTGTGTTGGTCTTGTTTTATTTTATTTTTTGCAATATTTTTAAACACCAAAACAACATTTGCCTATTGTTTATTTTGTATTCGAATATCATTTTCATCAATACATGAATGTATCTTATCAATCTTATTTAATCATTTCTTCAGAAAGTATGACTAACGAATCTCGATGAAGGATGTGTGCACGATCCAGTGAACGAAAGCATAGCGACGACGAAAACATTCTCTTGCAAACATGTCGAGCGAATCAGTAAGTAAAATGACTCAATAGATTGAGTCACACATAGGAGAATTTGCCAATGATGAGAATGTCGTGTTGGAAGCACGTCACCGATGAATAATCACATGAGTTTGCGGTTGAAGTGATGTGCTTTGTAGTTGACATTCGATGGACGACTAGTTTTTAAGTACGAACAAGAGAGTATTTTGTCTGTAGATGAAATGTATAAATGATTTCATTCATGGTCGGAATATAGCATATTTTTTCTCTTCTAGGCTCATAATCATTCAAAGAGGACCCAGTTGAGTCCATCTACCAACATGTTCCTGCGTTTTGCTCTGCAACTTTTCCTCTTCTGGTTCGTTGTCTTCTTGTGCAATCATCTCCTCCTAGTTCGTTTTAATTTTCTACTCCTGCGATTGTTTCAAGTTCTCATTATTATAGCGTTTTCGAGTTACCAGACGGCCGTATCTTCGTTTTCTACGTTTATTCGGTTGTCATATATCATTATGCAATATCATGTTCTACACCACTGCGTTCAACCGATTATTTTATCGCATCGGTTCGAAAAATGCTCGTCTTTGGAAAATTTGGTTCACCCTCGGGATAATCGTCACAGTAATCATAGCGGTTTGTGCATGCGCAACCTTAGTCTTTCTACCGATAAGATACGCATATGAACTTTCACAACGAAGTGATACAGTCTCTTCTGAAAATCTAACAATGACAAAACAGAACGAACGAGATAAACTACTGATTCAACCAATAGTTCGTAGAAAAGTCCGAATTTTAACGAAAGAAATCGATTGCATCTATTTAGATCCCAGGTGTTAATGTCCCGCTAGATCAAATAGTACATTTCTTTTTTGCTCTATTGGTTTGCACTGTCTTTCATGAATTTGGACATGCGGTTGCAGCAACAGCGTAAGCTATTCTCAGCGGCTTTCCATTTCTTGAGAAACGAATTGGTTTCGTTCATTAGTGAACAAGTTCGTTTGAATGGGTGTGGCTATTTTTTGTTTCTGCTATATCCAGGTGCTTACGTTGATTTGAATCACGAACAAGTAGAAATGATTTCGGCCTACAGACAATTGAGGTGAGTTGAAATAGAATGAAATTCTAATTAAAAAGAAAGATTTTCAAGAATCTATTGTGCTGGTGTTTATCACAACTTGGTTCTCGTCCTTTTTGCTCTTGGATTTCTTCTGATGAATCCGTTTTTTGTTCGAAATTTCTATACTGAAACAGCAATGGTATCCCGTGTAGTAAAAGTAAATGCCATATATTCCAAATAACTCATCCATTTGTCTTCTTATCACAGGAATCACCCTTAGCTCATTCACTTCCTGTCTATTCAACAATTCAATCCATTGATGGTTGTATAGTAAACACAGCGAACGACTGGTATCAATGCTTACGCTTGATTCGTGATCGACGTCCACAAGATAGTAGTGGTTACTGTTTAGCACAAGCCGAAATTCAACAATTCTCCAGTCATACAGGTACAAAATCAACCTATCGTGTTTTGTCTCTCGAAGACCATCAGATCATACGTAAGACATTGGTTTTGTTTTAGAATACAATCAAACAATTAATCACGACTGTTGTCAAAATCTCTCTCAAAAAAACTACTGTTTTCTCTACCATCTCAAACAACACTCGTCTGAAGTAATCATCTTCTGTGCTTAATTTCCATTGAACGTTTTGTTCTATTTCTTGAAGATTGGTGCGTGCATGGAAGCTCGCACAGTGACTCAGCATCCCGTGTGTTTTCTGAACAGTGACTGTCAACGCTATGGAAGTGACTCATCCTGTGTTTATCCATTCACAGCTGACAACATCACGCGTTTGATACGCATTTCGCATAGTCAAGGCCCTTCCATCCTTTTCGTTGGGTCAATTAATGAAATCTATCGAACAAGTAAGGAACAAACTCTCGTTCTGATCGGCTTCTGTCGGAGGAATTCCTAAAAATTTCATTCTCATTTCTTTCTCGAATACAAATGAAAATTAATCGTGTCAAAGAATCAAATTAAAACTTTCTATGTTCTCGTCGTCCTTTTTTTTCTTCAATTAATTATTTACGTTCTTTGATTAAATTTTCTTTCTAGTTACTCTCCAGTCTTATCGAGCTAAATATAACTTTATTCCAACAATTCTTATTACCGATATTCCATTATTTTTCCAGTACGTCATTAGAATCAGTTTTGCATTTAGTCTATTAGGTTGTTCATTTAATTAAATTTACATCTAGGTACGTCGGTGCCTTTTCATTTGCGTTAGCGTTCTTCAACGCAGTTCCCTGTTATGGATTAGATGGTCAATACATTCTATCTGCTCTTATTGAATACTATTCGCCGAATTTACATCGACAACACCGTGCTAGATTAACATTCGCTCTGATTATCGGCACGGGCTTACTTGCTCTCAATGTTCTACTAGCGTTTGTACGTTATTTTCTATTGTAATAAAAGTTGACATCAGGTTGAACAGCTTTGCCATTGAACTTACTTGTTTATCAGGTGAACGATGATTCTTAATTGGATATAGATGTAAAACACAAATGAGAATATTCACACCGCTAAGCAAAGCCTTTGCTACTCAGGAAATCAAGGCAAATTACAGATGAAGAGAGTGCACATGGTCTCAGATAGACACACATAACCGGATATTGCAATTGAAATCAGTAATTGAACTTATAGACGACGAACGCTGATGACTTCTCTGCACTGTTTATATCTGATGTTTTATTGTCATCAATACGATGACAATAGTAATAACAAAAAGGCCGCAGATGGAGATAATTAAAGAATAAAGAGCAAACCGGATATGAACAATTCATCGGCAACAGACACTTGCTACTATGACTGTCGTCATTATCAAATGTAATCAAGCTGCAAATTACTTCTCCATTCGACAATATTATCGACGTGGTTGTTTCAACAAATGTTCATATAACTGTTGTTTCTTGTGAATTATTCACAAACAAGCATGTTATTAAACCCATCGAAAAGCATACACATGCATACATGTATATATATACTGTAATTATTGCTTTTAAAAGTCTTCGCATGTTACCCGTCCCATCATCATCATCATTAATATGCTTCTTTTCTTTTCTTTTCTTCTTTTTTATATTATTTACATAGAAGAAGAGTAATTAAAGAGAAAAGAGAGAAACTCAAGACATAGTTTCTAACAACCTCGAATCTAATTATGAGTATTAGCGATGTAAGTGTATCCGAACATGGAAATAAGACTATGTAACTATAGAACAATTAAACGTGTTACACTCTTCACTCTATCGAACCACTTATATATGAGAATGAGAACATACGATATATATATATATATACACGAATCGTCCACAATTAACTGAAGTAGCTCTATTCATTCAGTAACACGACAGGTGGGATTGATGAGGAGAAGAAAAAAATCCTTGGTATATGCAGACATATAGTTACATATTCTCTTTTCTTCAATCAATAAGACCTAAATGAAGCGGAAAAACGATGAAGCCTTTTCATAGAAACAGATTAGTCAAGATTATTTGATTAGATCGAAATTCATTCTTTTTCATGCGCGTTGTCAAACATGCAAACGATGTTTTGCTTGTGGAAAAGGAAAAGAAAGTTCAGCTGTGTCGCGGAAGAACATTGAGACATTCGTCTTTCTTTTTTTTTTGATGATGCATTTCCGTCTTCTCTTTTACTCGTTAAATTACTACTTTAGTTTTCTTTCTTACACTTCCGTCTATCTTTCGTCTAATTTTCCATCTTATCATTAGACATCTAAGTACAAGATCAAGTCACGAAATAGTCGAATCAATTAAAGAAATAATCACAAAACGAACCAATGAATTCATTTGCGACCAGGGAGAAATGTCCTCTCTTTCTCTTTTTCATGTCTATACATCCCCTAATGTTCAAAAGATTCAACCAATCGGAAAACAATCCGATTTATGTTACTAAATTATAGGTCTTCTTTCTAAAAGAATGATTTTGTTGTTCTATTAATATATACTAGTTAAATTCATTTGGTCATATTTAAAAAATAAGACGCATACATTTACAAACAAAACAAACTGTACAAGCACTGTAGAAATGAGAGGAAATCAAATGAGAGCGAAGAGAATCTATGATTTGTTAGGCAATGCTATCTTGCAGTTCTAGTTTTACACGTCTGTGATGATCGAATCGATCAACTGGATTGGTTGAATATGATTCCGATGATGACGAATTTGATGAAGGAGACACAGACGATGGATTCATCGTTAATATAGGTGTTGTTGGATGATTTTGATAGAGTAGATTAAAATGAGGATGTTGATTCAGGGGTAAACGTGTTAACAGTTTTTCATCAATATGTCCCATTAGGAATGGCAGATAATGAGGCGGCGGTGGTGGTGGTGGCGGTGGTACAGCGACTTGTGAGGACCGATCATTAGTAGGATTAACTGTTCCAACACTTGCTGTTAAGGCATTCGAAAGGTACGATGACATTTGTTGACGGAATGTTTCAATGTCATGTGGAGCGATGAAATTTGGACTTTCTCGACCAAGAGCTTTCTCACGTTTACGCCATTTTGCTCGTCGATTTTGAAACCTAAAATTAATTATTTGATCTAATCTCTTCTGTTCAATTATTTATTTATTACGACGATAGAAAACGACTCGTTTCCTATTTCGCTACTTTAATATTCTATAGGGTCTCATCGATTTATCGTGTTCAAGAAAGAAAACATCCGTCTACTTACCAAACTTGTACGCGAGCTTCACTTAAATCCAATCTCATAGCCAGTTCTTCTCGCGTGAATACATCAGGATATTGTGTCTTTTCGAATGAACGTTCTAATTGATGTAATTGATATGTTGAAAATGTGGTTCGACTACGTCGAACCTTTCGTGGTCGTTCATCAGAACTGTGCTGTTCACCTGATGAATCACGTTCTTCGTCGTTACTCGATAATTTATTGTCCGAATTATTAATTGATGACGGTAGATGCCCAACAGATGCAGGCGACAGGATTTCAGGTGCTAAATGAAAAGAAAACCGTTGTTCATTATTAGTAGTTGTTGTCTATTGTCACTAATGAAGTAATTGACAAATGAATTAACATGACATACTCTCTTTTCTCTCTCCGTTCGAACAATAAGTGTAGATTCCCAATTCAATTGTATCGATTAAGTCTCATACTACTTATACATGTGTTGAGTGGAGGTGTGTATGTATGAGTATATGTAGAGAGAAAATATCGAAGTAAAAGTTGAAGTGATCAATTAGAATGAGAAGACGATGATGATCGTTCACGGTGGATTTCTTTTACTTACCATCGATGATTTGTCGTTTGTGTAGTTGCTGTTCGTAATCGTCGTTATCATCAGAGAGTTTTCGTTTTAACGAATTGGTTGTTAACGGCGAAGATGAATTGTTATTTCCCAGTATACTCGCAATGGTAAAAGCTCGCATTGTCGGCTAAATCTTCGGTGTTGCTTTTTCTCCTTTTTTGATTCAATTATTAAATGTAGTGGATGATTTGATCGTGAGTGCACACCGAGAAAGAAAAACGTTGTATGTACGTCAATAGAAGTTGGAGCGATGATAATTATATTCGCATTTTCTCTTTCTCTCGTCTCTCTTTCTCTTGCGCCGAGGGGAGAGAGAAAAATTGAGTGCGTCGAGCTATTCCATTGGTGCAGATGAAAAGTGGGACGGACTATATGTTGTAATCAACAAACCAATATAATCATTTCACGCGTGTATATTGGACATAAAGGAAAGGTAGAACGAAGAGAGAAAGAGAGAAGAAACCTTACTTGAAAGTTTCTTTTCTTTTTCTTCTTCTACCGCTTCGAGCTTCCTAAATGTATTCGTTTCGCTGTCTGGTTGACGACATTCTAATTTGTCTAAAATGATGACGATATTGAATAATATATGAATTAGTAAACGACGTTTTACTGCTGTTGAGTGCTGATCAACTGGATCGAAAATGCGAGTCAAAAAAGCAACAAATCTCATTCGAAGTTGTCCGTTCCATAATAAATTACTTTTTCTCTCTTATTTACTAATTAGAAGAAAAAAAAAACAGTTCATTTATGTTTTTCCTTTTTTTCTATTCATCTATTATACTCAATTTAACACTTAAGCTTTCTTTCTTTCTCTCTGATCAACAAGCAATTCAACATTAGTAAAAAAGTTTCCGATGTTTAAAATGAAATAACTTGTAATTGAGGACTGAAATTAGAGCTGAAGATTTCTTTGCATAATTACAATTTCTAGATCTGATGGAATGTACTCATATGCATATTCTCGTCGTATTCCGAAGCTTCTTTTCTGCTGTCGACGATTGAAAAAACGGACAGCGTCCTTAGCACTTGTGAATACACGTGTCAATAATTGAACATTTCATTTCCTGTGAAATTAAACACAATGTTCTTCTTGGGCTTTACTTTCTATTGTTTCATATCATTTGCCATTGTCAAAGCCCTCGAGCATAATTAAATGTCTAACTGCGTGTTTATTTATATCACCAACATTCAATTGATCAAGATTCGCCGAAGTTTATTAATTGATTTCGATCAATAGACTTCGTCGCCAATGCCTCTCCCGATGGCAACGAGCAGCAATTGGGAAAATCATATGTCGAACTAGTCATGCATAATGATGAAAATCTAAATAGTCAGTTTTTGATTAGGAAAGTTATGCCGAGCATGTTTTTCATTATTAGTTCCATGTAAACAGGTGTTAATGCGCAAATATTGCTGTAATTAAAAAGGAACAAACATAAGTTAAAAAACAAGGTTATTTTCCAGGTTATGAAGCAATCGGATTTTTGATTACATTTTCGTGTTTTAATTGCAGAAATTGTCTTTCATTAATCTTGAAAATATTTTTCTCGATCTCTTAGGTCGATTTTCTGCCCGAATGATTTGCAAAAAATATCATACGGGCAGTTTTTTAATTATCTACTTCAGACTTGAGATAAATATTCATATGAGGAAATTGTGTTAAATATTATATTATCTCTCTAGTCTAGAATCTAAAATTAGCAATTATTGATGACAAACGAATCGGCCTGTCAAAGTTCAGATTGATCTTTTGTATGCAGTGTTGTGTTGAGAAAAGTAAGAGTTCGATGGTTTGTATGGAAAAAACTGAAAGATATTTGATTCGATTGTAGAACTTGGGAATACTTTCGTTGAAGAGATTTCACGGCCGCGTGTTGTTCGAGACTTTGCTGGAATAGTAGATCTTGATGGTTTCGTTTGTTTTCGAGATTGCCGAGTGGAAGCCGTTGTGGTCATCGTCAGTGACGTTTTTGCAGTTGATTTATGATCTGTATTGTTTGATGATACACCTGGAACTTTTGATCGATTCAATGGAATACTTGAGGGTGGAGTATGCGGAGTCAAGCAAATCTGAGGGTAGGTGTTGAAATTGTCGATTATTAAATGAAGCGGTTGATGAAAAGAAGTTAAGTTGTAAAACGAATAGTGCAATGCACGTTGCCGATCATGTGCACAGGCTGGACATTGATCGAAATAGATTTGTAAGTTTTGAATGGTAAAAAGCAGTGAACATGGACTATTCCTGAAGAAGAATTAGTAAAAGTATTTATCAATGTCGATTAGATATTACCGTTGTTTGCGTTGACTTCTCAATGACAGATTTTGTAGAGAAACTCCATCAATAACTAAACCACGATAACCAGATTCATTTAATAATCGATCCGAAAACTACAACAAACTCTTCTTCTAGACAGAGGAATTATTAAATCACATGATACGAACATATTTTTGAACGAGTATTTTGTCAATATCCGATAAATAAGTATGCGAAGGAAGGTTCATTCGGTCGATAGTGTTTAGACCATACTGTAGATCCCCTAAATCATATCCTGACACAAACAAAAGCCGAGACTTTAATCTGTTTTTGTGTACAAGTTGTTTAGTTACTTTCAATCTCGTAATCTCTACGACTCTTGGCTTCTACAAAACAAAATAGTTATGAATAGTTCAATGAACTTCTCAAGTCGTTAAGTTACTAACTTGCAAAAGTGATTATGACACAGATAAGAAAGATAACTAGGGCAATAACTGCTGCAGTGATAAATAAACAAGTGATTATGCATAGAATCTTTCGTGCTTGTCTGAAAGGGAAATTTATTTTCAATTGAATTCTAATCAACAAATCAAAATCTTTACTCAGCTGTTTTAGATTGAAGGCTTGTTGGTTGTGGAGCGATTTCTTCCGTCTAAAAATTCAAAACAAGGACTGGATATTACTATTTTAATCGAAAAACGTAGTCCTAATTACAGAGGGTGTTACTTCCACATGTTTGAGGATTTCCATTTGAGTAGTAATCGTCATTACTGCATATTTCACAGGGGGAATGTCAGCACACGCCGGTTGTATACGATTTGTTCGATTCATGAGTGGAATTGTTTTATTTTGATTGCAATATAGCAGACTGTAAAATGATCGCAGACAATTCTCTGTGCATAGTGTTGTTCTTTATCATTGTTGAAGGTAAAAAAACAAATGTTTCAAGTAAGACGTAGGTAGATCTTGGCACAATGAAGTTCCTTTACGTTTTACCGTCTGCGAAGATAAAGATGGTGTATTTATTACATTTCGGATTTACTGACGAAAGCTATCAAGATGAATGAATGAAGAGACATGAACGTCAGTTTTGAAAAGAAAAGTTTCGCACGAGCTTGTTTCGAACACCATCTGCACATAAAAGATGTCGCTGGTCGCACCTAATAAGCAAACGATTGGCTGATTATTTTTGTCCATTTATTGACAGGGACGGATAAACTTGAATAAAATTGCAATTCGTTTCCTTTCTTGCTCAAGCTATCAGTGTGGCAATTCATATCCTACGACAATGTCCAACAAATTAATTACGCCGAAACAAGAACCCATGGGAGCTGCTGCGGTGAGTATAGAAGTGCGAAATGTGTATTTCAAATCAAGATTTTCCTTTTAGATTAGTGACATGATGAGAGCTGCTCAGCAACAAATCAGAGATCGGCAACAAGAACTTAATTTTACAGTGAGTAGATTGTTCTGATTTGCATCATAGATTTCGATATCAATGTTTACGAATTCAGGCACCACCTATCTCTGCAGCACAGCAACGATTAGCAGAACTCCAAGCTAGAATTGCGAAGCAGACAGGTAACATCAATAATCTATATAGAAAAGAAAGTAATGCTTTCTTGTATTTGCATTTCAGGCCATCTTCTTCCAATACCTCCTATTGATGAAAAACCAGTTCATGTCACAATCGACCGTGAAGGTCGAACAATCGATTCTCTCACTGGTGAAGTTCTTCAATTGCCAAATCGTATACCTACACTGAAGGCCAACCTTCGTGTTCAAAAGAAAGATGTTAAACAAGAACAACCAAAACAAAAAGCAGTCAAAGAAGTTGTTACGGAATATCCCGGTATTGACGCATCAGCCAAATATCATGATGGACGGCTCTTGTATGTTACGATAATAAACTTGTGAATGATATTTTGATTTTGTTTCTCGTTTGAATAGAGTTCGACCCGCTGTACGCAGTCGTCGTGAATTTAAATTCGTTGACAAAGGGAAATACGAAGATTTAGCAAACAAGCAACGTGCAAAAGAAAAATTGAAAAAACTTCAAGATCAAATCGCACAAACCGCTAAAAACGCCGGTATCACTGTTGGAAACAAAGTTGGAATTATTCAACCGAAGAAATTTTTCGTATGTACCCTTCTCGTGGTCAACAGTCTGTTCATGAGAATTTTCTCTTTTAGTCCGAATCGGAGGTTCCTGACATTGAATGGTGGGATGCCGTCATTCTTCAACGGGATAAGTACGTTCTTACAAAGTAACGATATTGATTTGAGAAACATATCTTTGTTAATTTAGTTACTCAGCAATTACTCCAGATGCTAAAATTGCGCCTATTCTAACCGGTATTACACAACTTATCGAACATCCAACGCAGCTTAAACCGCCATGTAAGATGTCGTAGAAAAGAGATTCGATAATTTTCATTTGATCTTCTTTCTAGCCGAGCCGACCAAGCCAGTTTTATTGCCGATTCATTTAACCAAACGTGAACAACGCAAACTGAGACGACAGCATCGTGCCGAAGCTTTGAAAGAGCAGCAAGAAAAAATTCGTCTTGGTTTGATTCCAGCACCAGAACCAAAAGGTCCGATTAGCATTGATATGAAAACAATCGTAAATCATCTGTTTATTTTCAGTGAAAATCTCCAATATGATGCGCGTTCTATGTTCGGAAAATGTCCAAGATCCGACAAAAGTTGAACAATATGTTCGTGATCAGATGGCACAGCGTATTAGGTAAGTAGTTCTCTTTCATCGTAGAAAAATTGGCAACATATAATGAACTATTGTAGAACACACGAAGAAACCAATGCAGCACGGAAACTATCCGCCGAACAACGTCGTGAAAAGAAAACCAAACGAGCTCGAGAAGACACTACAACCGGTGTTCATGCGGCTGTCTATCGTGTTCGATACTTAGATGATCCATCTCATCGATTCAAGATTGAAACTAATTGTAAACAACTACACATGACTGGTTGTGTCGTTACTTGGAAAGATGTTAATATAATTGTAGTAGAAGGAGGTTGGAAAAGATCCTACCGCTTATTTAGTACTCATGAATAATTGATTTTTTTGTATATTTAGGACCTAAACAACAGAAGAGTTTTCGTCGTTTATTACTCCATCGAATTAAGTGGAACGCATCGAGTAAAAATCGCATGGATGATGGTATGTAAAAGTTCACTGATTTGTACCGTAAAAAAGACGATAACTTCTTTCTATAGATGCGAATGAATCGGAGAAAGAACGTAATAAATGTGTACTTCTTTGGGAGGTAAGGAAAAGGCGGTTGAAGTCTCTTAAGATACGTTGAATGTTTTTAGGGTATGGTCAAAGAACGGTCGTTTGGTGAAATCAAATTCAAAGCGTGCCCAACAGATAATTTCGCTCGCGAACACTTTCGTCGTCATGGCGTCGAACACTATTGGGATATCGGACACAATGATACGATACTGGAAGCATCAAATGATTGAAATCTTTATACTCTTTTTGTTGTATGTAATTAAGAAGTAAACGAATAGAGACACATGATGAGTGAAAGAGAAATTCAACACGATAATCTTTCGATTTTGATTGAATCGATCATGAATGGTGAATAGTTTGAAGCGAAAGAAAAATCGGACGAATAAATAAAAATATGACCCGTATTTTATTTCAGTATTCTCATTTGGAAATTCATTTTTATCAAAGCAAAAAAAAGAAGATGATTAAATAGTTATAAAAAAAAGAAGTTGTGATAAAAGAATGGAAATACTTTTTTTTACAGAAATACTCGAAGATATCTTTCACATCGCTTCGAATTCATCAATACGGCGTTTAACTAAAATAAAAAGAGGATCATGAGTAATGAACAGGAGAAATATCTCACCAGTTCCTTCGCGAATCTTCTTCAATGTCTTGTACTTGTCGATACCTTTGTCGGCGATGTTTTCTCGGTAGATTTTATCTTCGTGAGTATCCTCCCTTTGTTGTCGTCGACCGAGATCATTTCGTTCTTCCTAGATTGACAAGAAAGACATCGGTTTTCATCAACTAAATCGAGAGTTCAGCCATTATCGAACAGCGAGAGCGTGATCAAAAAGAAATATTCATCAGTGTTTATTAGTTAGAGTGGATAAAAGATGTTTCTTTTTAATATTCACTACCGAAAAATATAAAATGATAGAAGAAGACGTTGAGTGATTAAATGTGGAACAGTGAGATTAGTTTATAAACAAATAGAGACAATCACATTGATTCGAACTCGTCAATACGCTTTTTCGTATTTCCCTGTCGAATCAATTTTAATGTTTTGTATTTGTCTCGACCCGATGCAACATTTTGTTCATGTACACGATCGTGATCGGTGATTTTGTGTGAATTTTGCAGCGAACCCAATTCAAATTTGATAGCCTGAAGAAGAAGCGTGTTAAGCAGAAAGCGCGTGCAAATCATGATGTGAAAAAGCGAGAAGCCAAATATCTTTCACTTACTTGAAGTCTGCGTTTGATATCTTGATTACGATTCGCTACACTGACACGATTTTCTTCGTGACGTGATGCACTCGCATCCGTATACAATTCCACTCCTTGACAAAAAACAAGTAATGGTGAGAATTCAGCAAAGACTCAGACTTAAAAACAAACCGTGACCGTTACGACTTGTTGTACTGTTTTCTTCATCGTCGCTTTCGGGGACTTCTGTAAGGTGGCTGGCGTATTCGTGATCAAAATGACCATTGTCGTTGCTGTTTTCTTTCGCATCGAGAACCTGAAAGGCGTTTATAGGACATGATTTAGTTTCGGATGAGTGAAAGTCTGTTAAGGAAGAAGGATGAGAAGAGAGCAAATGCCAGAAAATCTTACTCTTTTGTTCGCTTCGCGTAGCTCTTGTTCGAGTTGACTTGCTTCAGTCTCTTTTTGTTGAGCCTCTTGGGCGTTTTCCTCGGCTAAGATACGAACTTTTTCGATATCTTGAACCTTCGAAAGAACACATACAATTCGGTTTTTTTCTTGCAAATTTGCAATAAAGCAGTGCATTGTCTATCATTCTCTATCAAAGCTCGTCTATGATGGGTGAAAGTGAGAGGAGGCGTGCGCATACCCATGAACAAACAGGGTTATTCAAACGCCATAGTTGCTGAAAAGATACGGTTGAAACGAGTATTCCATACGCGAGAAAATCATTCTTTCTTTTAGAATGGATCTCTGTTCGTTTCGAAAGAAAACGAAAGGCCAACCTACCATTTTGTCTCTTTCTTCTTGTTCATAATTGATTCGATCCATCATTCTTTGATGTTCTCGTTCTGCTTCTTCGCGTTCTTGTTTCAAGCGAAGTTCGGCACTTTCGGCCTCTCGACGTTTTTCCTCTAATTCCCTTGCCATATGATTTTGCTCTTCGATTGCTAAAAACAAATAAACAAACAATCAGAATAATGTCAACAACCACAGACAAAGGAGGATCGAAAGAACAATCAAACGAAGTTGATTTGAATCATCTTAGCATATTCTCTTACGTTCTTCCTCATCAGACGTTTTTAAAAACAATCGAGGCGGTTTTTCTAAATGCAATCGATCTTCTACGTTATACACGGCATGTTACAAACCTCGCCTGGCAGCATCTGTCGTTCTCTCCAGATCCTGCACTCGTCTTCCCATTTCTTCACGATCGTTTTCAGCTTGCCGACGAAGTTCAGCTTCACGTTGAATTCGTTCGCTAAACAAAAAATCCACTGCGATCAAATTCCAATCCAACAACGTCGTACCGTTCTCGTTGTCGTATTGCTCTTTCTTCGTTTGCTTTTTCTTTCATTTCTTGAACATCAGTCGGATCGGGCTTTCGACGGCGCATGTACAATTCATGATTACCCATACATAACGAGAGAATTCGTCGATTGATGCGCAATCTTGGTGCATAGAAAATGAAAGGAGGAGACTTCTTCTCCATCGGTTTTATAACGAATTTCTTATCATTGAACGATATATTCTGTATTTCGCTCCATGGAAATCCTATTTTCGGTGTTAATCTAAACGAAATAGCTGAACAAGATCAGATTCGACATAACACACGATTTACTTGTCTTTTTTATCGTAAATATTAAGACCAAGTGCATCGACACCGAGGTAAAGTTCAGTGCCTTTTTTATTCTTAATATCAAAATAATTAACACCATACATTTCAAGATCCTGAGCAACTTTTAGATATTCAAGCATAGCATCTTCCCTAAAATCACAACAAATGCGTACTTTCTGTTAGCACATAGTCTCAAACGAGAACAGCTTACTTTACTAAACCTCTGTGCTCTTTCCACCAGTTCACTACACGTTTCACCCATTCATCAATTGACAATTGATATTGATCCATAACTCGTCTTGGTAAAAGCCGTTCGTTCTGTAATGTTCCTGGACGATGAACACTTTCATTATAATCTCCATGTTTAGCTTGCATAGCATAGGATGCGAGGAGGATGCATGTTTCAGGTGGACAATAGATTTCATCGCTAAGAATTGAATCTTTAACTTGAAGAAAAAAGAGTTTCTAAAGATAGACATGAGAATTGTCAGTTTATATGGAAAGATATGAATGAGTAGTGTTTCTACTTGAGTAGTATCTTGTATAAGTTCTTCGGAGACTTCTTCAGGATAGAAACGCGCACGAAATTTAAATGACAATGGTTGATCATGTGTTTTCTTAAGATCTTGACTAAGAACTTTTTTGTTCAATTTCAACCAACAGGGAAAATCTTTCGAATCTGTGAATAACAAACCGAAAAACCAAATTTCACGAAGGTTAATCGTTTTCACAACCTAAAATCGAATTCTTTTTCTGTTGTCTTCACAATTCAAACAACTCTACTTGATCGAATAGTTGTTTACCAGTGGTATTCGGTTGAATGGCAAATTCAAGTTCCGAATCCATTGTAACCACACGAACATTGACCTAGATTCAAAGTATACCATTACATCATTCGTTTAAAAGAATAAGAACAATTGAAATCTAATTCCAAGCTGCGCTTTCCTTTTTATCTCATTGACGATTATGAATATCTACAGTCATTCGAGAGTGGCACGATTATCTCCGATTAGTCACTTACTGGTCTTGGTGCCATTGTTTAATAATATGCTAATGTATTTGTTTCACGGCTTAATCGATGTTGTTTAGAAATATTTTACACATAGAGATATCGCCTGGTTGTGCTCGTCCACTGAATGTCTGTAAGAGTATATGAGTGTGTATGTGTTTATCTAAAACGAACAAAAGAAGAAAAAAAAAGAAAAACGCTGTAGGAGGACGAAGCAATGCGACGTATGTCAATAGTAGTACTGCTGTGATACTACAGAGAAGAGAAACGGAAAGAAGAAAAGACGAATGTGTGATTCATTGATGGTATCTGTTCGAAATTTTATACGTCTTTCTTCGTCGATGTCAGCTTGATGAGCTCAAAAAGAATATTTGTTCCGTTCGATGATGAACAATAATGGGCGTCGATCATGAGCAAACATGACATAACATGAATCAATAATAATCGAAGTACCATTGGTCAGTTGCACGAAAAGAAAAGAATAGAAGAAGTGATTTGACAGTGTAAAGCACGTGTCGGACAGTGTTAAGTCAACAAGACGGAAATGAGTTCTACTATCTGAATGGTTAATGATATTTCGATACCTTAGGACGAGGAAAGAATTTCAAGCATGTTTTGTTGCTTTATTAAGAAAAAGACCTTAAAGGTGTGGACATTTATCGACAAGTGACATTCTTATCACCTGCCACTAGGTCTTACTAAGACGAGGAGATGCGATGAAGATAAGTATAACGAAAAGAATATTTGAAACGATCGATCGTTAACTATTCTCTTTTCAACAGACAAAGGAGTGCGTCATCTTGACACCATGAACGTATGAATATCAAACGCCGTTTGTCTATATGTACATATATGTATATAAAATGAATAAATAATCAACACAAAAGATTATGAGGCACTTTCTATTCATTTCGAGGGTCGTTGATGCTCATGCTGACAGTTCTATTTGAGTATAATTAAGTGTCCGATACAATCGTCTGTATAAATATTGCATAACTAATAGTAGACTTACAAGATTTGAAAGTATATGGCAAAATGTATTGATTTTAGTCGTTTAACATATATTTAGGATTAGATCTCACGCATCGAAATGATGACTAGGAGTACTGTTCTTTCAATAACAAAAATACAGTGAACAAACAAGGAGCGAAGAGAAGTGAAAGAGAGAGATAAGACGAAAGTCAATTTCAAACGTATGTAAGAGAGAAGAAAACGAAGAAAAGTGTAGTAACAGACGATGATATACTGTAAATAATAGAAAGACGAACAGCGGTGTCGGTGAGAAGAGGCTTGTAAGATTTCACCTATTAATTTCAACGTATAGAAAAGAGAGAATTCTTTTTTTGTCTACTGGTATCTGTAACGATGATGAAGAACGAAAAAAGAACAAGTACACATCGACAAATGATACGAGAAGTAGCCCGTGTTCGCAATTAATGAGGAAAATGTGTCATTACTAGCGAAAAATGAAAAAATTGCTCGTAGAATGGTTAATATATCCAATGACTTACCTTACGAATACTTTACAGTTTCAAAACAACACGAATAAACTTCGACTTTTTTTATATTCGAAGTCATAAATGTAGAAAGTAATACGATTACAAGAGATATAAAATTTTGTGTTTTCGTCATAAAATGTAACTTTTCCGTTTATACGATTAAACCGAAAATGCTGATGACTGAAAAGATATTTTGATTTTCCCATTTCACAGTTACACACCCATCAGTCGTTCCATTCCAAATGCACGACAGAGCTGTGTGTAAACCGAAATTATTCTCTTTACTTTTCTCTCCGAGTAGAACTGTGACAATGAATTTCATTTGCTGATCGGAAAATTTCTCTTGAGCTTGTTGCAATCGATGCAAAATCTCAGTTAGAATATCGATGTTCCATTGTCGGACTTGTTCAGTTAGGAAAACTTTCTCACCGATCGTCTCGTGTAAAACTTCTTTAGTAATTCGTTTGATTTCGTTAATATCAAATGACATTATACAATAAGTTAAAAAAAAACAACTTCAACAAAACGCGCTTTCTATACGATTTTGTGTTCGTTCTTTGGATTGTGACTGAATTCATAATCGAGATGAACAAACGCCTAGAAACGAAACAAAAATCAGACAAGAAAATGCGATAATTAAAATATTACTCGTTCCACTTCAGATAGTGCTTCGATCTTCTGTTGTAATTCTTCGCCAATGTCATGTGCTTCTTTCAGCAACATATTCTCCGGTAGAACAATATCAACTTCTACTAAATATGAAGTACCAAAGTAGAACGCCCGAACAGTATCGATCTTCTTTATCAGTGGAGAATGATGAAAAGTCAACCACTAGAGATAACAGATTGCGATTAGATTTGGTTTTAGTGAGGACAAGCAACAGTTGTTTACCGTTATCTGTGAAAGGAATTTCGGATCTGCCGTGTGACCGCTCAAACGCTTGATTTGACCTTTGAATAGAAGAATACCAATATCAATAGAGATTAGAAAGATTTTTAAACACACTGTTGGCTTGTCGAATCCACATGATGATGATATAGATCGATATGACAATAGCACCAACGGGATCCATCACAATTGCTTTCTGATTGATCTGCTGCTTGTATGCAAATGAACCTAAAATCACAAGACAACAGCATTCAAACGAATGATCCAGATTTGCTTTCTTACCAATAAGACCACATATCAATGCTACGATGTTCGATGCGACATCGTTACGATGATCTTCGGCTAATGCTGACGTTGTCGGTGAGTTCACCCGATGGCATACAAAGAACAGAATTGCTTTACTAACAATGACGATGCAACTTGTTGCGACTGGAAATGCACTCATGTCGATATCATCCAGAGTTCGTGTCGTATTTTTTTCCGAAAAATACTGCGCGTCATTCACAATCGTGTTAATTGATTCATAAATAACCAGAACGGAAACTGCGCACATAATAACAGATAGAATGACAATGGCAACCGGCTCAAGTCGTGTTCGACCTAGGTATAAATCAAAAACAAATCTTAATGAAGCTGTGCGTACGATCGAATACCTTGAGGATAACGATATGCATCACGTTTTTTAATTGCTCGCCAAGCCCAAAACAGAATAACAGAAGTAGCAAGATCGACTGCTGAATCAATGACAGAAGAAACAATTGAAAGCGATTTCGACATAACAGCGCTGGCAACTTTCAATATGAATAAACACTATATAGATTTGTTGTTGAAGTTAATTTTAGAAACCAAAAAGAAATCTTTACGTACGATGTTCACACCGAGTGAAACTTTAGTTAAAAATCGAGCACGTTTTTGTTCACTTGCATGAGTTTTCTGGTCGTCTCGATTGCCGTTACCATGATCATGTACGCGTTGGTAACCATCGATCCAGTCATCTTGTTTTTCGTAAAACCGTTTCACGCGATTTGATAAACCAGAGTCTTCGTCACGTTTACCTCGGCGACGAGAACGTAAGTTTTTCATTGAATAATACGGGTCTTCGTCGAATAGCTCCTGTTCTTTCCGCTCCGAGCCTGGAACTTGTTGTTCATCCTTATTTTTATCTTCTGACGAAATATTTCCTGAATTGAAACGACGACCTGCAGTTGAATGGTCACTGATTCGTCGTATGTACCCAGGTAGCAAACCTGGGGACAAAGTATATTGTTTATTGGATGGTAAATCACCCAGCGAAACTGTATCCAAGTCAGGCTTGTAGGCAACGTTCGTATGATCCATTTTCGTGTTGTTGTCGAAGCGAATAAATAACAACTGGTATATAATATACTACCTATAATTTTTATCTTGTCGTTACACTTCAGTGAATTCATGTTCGAAACATTCATACTTCGAGTGACGCAGTTTTATGTTTCAACAAGCGCGCCCATGATGATCGAATGACGTTGCACTTGTTATTTTTGATCAGGGGGATATGTTTTCTGATTCATTTGATTACGAAAAAATTATGCCCTGCTTGCGCATCTTTTTCCTCAACTGAAAGTGCAATCTGATAGATGAATAAGATGACATATTGGCTAATTGATATCTCAGTTCTATTTTTTCTGCTACAGATTTATTATGATACATTTTTTTGCGAAACTTTTGATGCTTTTCATTTCGACATAATTTATGTGTTGAACACACAAGATTACTATCACTGAAAATAGAACATAATCATCAAACGAATGAAATGCCTCATCACTTATAGAATTTCTATTTTCTTGTCCGATAAGTAATGTTCTATTCCGCTCGACGTTTGACGGACGAGATTACCATATTGTGATAGATATTTTCTAAATGGCGAAATTCATTATCTATTCCAGGGAAGATGAATTCTCACCCGCTTTAAATCTCTAGCAACGAGTAAGTAATTTGATGAGAGAGACAAAGTACTGATAGTAAGTGACATTCCCTTTTGAATGTCGGCAATCTATCAGCTGATGTTTTATTTTCAATGCAGCTTTTGTACCTTTTTTATGGCCACAATAATCATGTGTGTTAAAACGAGTTTGTGGGATGGAGAGGTACGATCAATCTAATCGATACTGCATCATCATACGCAAATATCGCCACAATAATTTGACATGTTACATTTCTCTTCATGATCATTGCCCATGGTCGTATTACAATTGTATCAGAAAGTACGACCCACCTTATAACTCCACATCAGCATCTCGATAGACTCATTTTTAATTATAACAACTGGCCATATTCATTTCAATAACGGCTAATTTACCGATTAGCATAGCGATAGCAGGATTGAGTGCGTATGCCTGGTTTGGATTTGTATTCAACCGCAGCTATATACAAGAAATTCATTTTTCTTCTAGTCTAAGCTCAAACTGCTACTCTTCACCTCATAGACCTTCTCCCTTCATTGAATCTCCAACATTTTCTCACACACATCTCAATTATCGTGCTGTTCTTACTAAATAAAAGTTCGTTTTCAATCATTCCCCATCCAGTTTATTTGGTGAAAATACATGTTCTAAGCTAAGCACACTACTGTCTATATACCAACTTCCACAACCTGATAGTTGCTGGCGTAGCGCATGATGCCGATTTTATTCCGACAAGTCATGCCATTGAGAGAATGAAGTGTATATTATTGTTTTTCAAATGCCAAACATTTCTCGTAATGATAAATAGCTTCTGATTCTTTACCCATGCTATCATATACTGTTCCAATATTCCGGTGACATATACACAAAAGAGGATGATTTGAGGGTAGGGATTGTTGCAGAATCCCCAGACACTTTTCTAAATGATCAACAGCTTTCGAATATTCATCCATGCTGTCGTACACCATGCCGATGTTGTTGTGAGACGTTGCTAAATCAGGATGATTGGGTGGAAGTGATTGTTGTCGGATTGCAAGACACGTCTCGTAGTAAGAAAGAGCTTTCGAATATTCACCCATGCCGTGGTACACCCCACCGATATTGTTATGAGACGTTCCCAAATCAGGATGATTGGGTGGAAGTGATTGCTGTTGGATTGCAAGACATTTCTCGTAGTATGAAAGAGCTTCCGGATATTCACCCATGCTTTTGTACACCATGCCGATATTGTTGTGAGACGTTGCTAAATCAGGATGATTGGGTGGAAGTGATTGTTGTCGGATTGCAAGACACTTCTCGTAGTAAGAAAGAGCTTTCGAATGTTCACCCATGCTGAAGTACACCCCACCGATATTGTTATGAGACGTTCCCAAATCAGGATGATTGGGTTGAAGTGATTGCTGTTGGATTGCAAGACCCTTCTCGCAGTAAGAAAGAGTTTTCGAATATTCACCCATGCACTGGTACACCATGCCGATGTTGTTGTGAGACGTTGCTATGAAAGGATGACTGGGTGGAAGTGATTGTTGTTGGATTGCAAGACTCTTCTCGTAGTAAGAAAGAGCTTTCGAATATTCACCCATGCGCTGGTACACCTCACCGATATTGTTGTGAGACGTTGCTAGGGAAGGATGATTGGATGGAAGTGATTGTTGTTGGATTGCAAGACACGTCTCGTAGTAAGAAAGAGCTTTCGAATATTCGCCCATGCACTGGTACACCATGCCGATGTTGTTGTGAGACCTGGCCAAATCAGGATGATTTGATGGAAGTGATTGTTGTTGGATTGCAAGACACTTCTCGTAGTAAGAAAGAGCTTTCGAATATTCACCCATGCTTTTGTACACCTCACCGATGTGGTTGTGAGACGAGGCCAAATCAGGATGATTGGGTGGGAGTGATTGTTGTTGGATTGCAAGACACTTCTCGTAGTACGAAAGAGCTTTCGAATATTCACCCATGCTGTGGTACACCTCACCGATATTATTGTGAGACGTTGCTAGGTAAGGATGATTGGGTGGAAGTGATTGTTGTTGGATTGCAAGACACTTCTCGTAGTAAGAAAGAGCTTTCGTATATTCACCCATGCTTTTGTACACCCCACCGATGTTGTCGTGAGCCGTTGCTAAATCAGGATGATTGGGTGGTAGTGATTGTTGTTGGATTGCAAGACACTTCTCGTAGTAAGAAAGAGCTTTCGTATATTCACCCATGCTGTGGTACACCTGACAGATATTATTGTAACACGTTGCTAAATCAGGATGATTGGGTGGAAGTGATTGCTGCTGGATTGCAAGACACTTCTCGTAGTAAGAAACAGCTTTCGAATATTCACCCATGCTGTGGTACACCTCACCGATATTATTGTGAGACGTTGCTAGGTAAGGATGATTGGGTGGAAGTGATTGTTGTTGGATTCTAAGACTCTTCTCGCAGTAAGAGAGAGCTTTCGAATATTCACCCATGCTTTTGTACACCCCACCGATGTTGTTGTGAGACGTTGCCAAATCAGGATGATTGGGTTGAAGTGATTGCTGTTCAATTGCAAGACACTTCTCGTAGTAAGAAAGAGCTTTCGAATATTCACCCATGCTAGAGTACACCCCACCGATGTTGTTGTGGTAGGTAGCTAGTTTGCGCTGGAAGTGTGAATCATTTGTTGGATATAAACTCATTGGCGTTGCATCAAAGGGCATGGGTTCGTTGTGGTTTAATATGTTAGACATCGAATTAAAGGTCGTCTCATTATTATTTGTTTTCAGTAATTCACTAGTAAAGCGTAGCATCAGAAGCTCATACAATTGTAGTGCTCTTTCGTAGTAGCCCATCGTGTGAAAAAGTCGGGCCAGTGCGTCCCACCCTGATGAGACGTTGAGTTCTTGAGCGAATTTTAGCGATAGTTGGCGAAGTTGCGGATCATCGTCGCTGGTTAGAGTTAGTTCTATTTGATATAATTTGCCAAGACCATTGAGCTGTTGAATATTAGTTATACGAAAAACACTGTGCATTGAGAAGAGTACTTCGTTTTCATCGCGAAATTTGCTGACAGCACTAATAAAGGCAAAAGGTGTCCTTGACTGAGAAGGATGAATCGTCATAACAAATAGAACATCTACAAGGTTAGGATCGTGCTGGCTTTGCCCGAGAAATATTTCTGAAACAGAACTGTCGATCGAGGTGGACAAGAAATTGTTGAAAGCGATGAGTCCTCCCCTTGTCTTTGATAACTGATCAAAATCAGTCGTAGTTAGACTTTGGCCACGATACACGGTGAAGGTAACATTAGAATTCGGTAGTTTAGACCTTTTTAGGTGTAGTTGTTCGATAGATTCGTGAAGATCACGGATATAAAAGCCCATATTAACGATTAAGATGGCATCCATTGTTCGAAGTGCTCGATTAAGCATAGGATATAAAAAGGAATCTCCAGTGTACCACCATATTGGATCCTGATTACGGTAGGTTTCTTTGAGTTGCTTAATCTGCTTTTGATGCGAAACACTATCTGAAAATTGTTGGTGACAATAATTGATGAATTGATCAAAGTGTTCAGGCTCGAAATTAATTTGTAATATTATGTCTTTCAGTATCTCTGTGTACATAAACGAGCAATCAAGTTTATCTAAGTTCTTTTCGGTCTGTTGAGTATCAGTTTGCATAAAAGTTATAGATATGGCGTCGCGTTCACAGTGTTTTGCAGTTGGTTTAAGCGCCTCGAATATAGCATGACGATCAATGGAAATCCTATTAATTTTATACCAAT